GTTGTTCTCTGCTTTGTTGATCTTTGCCATTCTCACTGGGATAAGATAAAATCAGAGTTGTTTTGATTTTCATTACCCTAATTGTTAGCAATGAAGAACATTTCTTTGAGTTATTATTAGCCATTTTTCCCCTTCTTTTAAGAACTTTTTTTTTTTTTCAGATTCCAGGCCTATTTTTCAAATGGGTCGTTTCTTTTTTTTTGTTTGTTTTGTTGTGTTTTTTTTTTTTTCTGTTTTTTTTTTCTTTTTCTTGTTGAGTTCTTTAGTATATTCTGGATATTTATCCTCTGTCAAATGTTGTGCTGGCCAGTTTAATGTCAATTTGGCACAAGCTGGAGCCATCAGAAAAGAGAAAACCTTAAATAAGAAATTGCCTCTGTAAGATCAGGCTATAGGACAGCTTATAGGGCATTTTCTTAATTGGAGATTGAAATGGAAGAACTTACCCCACTGTGAGCTGAGCCACTCCTGCCTGGTGGTAGTGAGGATAACAAAGCAGGTGAGCATGCTCATTGGAGTAAGTCAGTTAGCAGAACTCCTTCATGATCTCAGCAGCAGCAATTGCTTCCGGGTTCCTACACTATTTGATTTCCTGTCCTGACTTCCTTCAATAATGAGCAATGGTGTGGAAGCAAAAACCAAAACAATTCCTCCCCAAGTCGCTTTGCAATGGGGTTTTATTACAGCAACAATGACCGTAAAGAAGATGAATGTACAGTTGGCCAAGATTCTTTCCCATTTTGAGGACTCCTTCTTCACCCAGTTGTTTTGCTATCCATAAGTCCTTTAAGTTTCTGAAATCCTGTTGTTTCACATTAAGTACAGAGGCTATCCCTTCAACAGCTGTACTAACCAGCAATTGCAACTCCACAGTTACCAGCAGCAATTTGATTGCACTGCCATAGCCAGGTGGAAATTCTGTTCCCTCGGGCACTAGCTCCATCACGAAATTTTATCTAAATCTCTATGCTTCTCTAGAACTCAGGATTCAAAGGTTGAAGTGAAATTCGCTCACTCAGAGAGGCTGAATTACAAGTAGCTAACCTCTCCTTGCTTGCCTCTCCCCGGAAAAGGAGGGGCTTTCTATTTAGCCCCTATTTAAGAACTCTAGCTACACTTGGTTCCTCCCTAAAACTTCCTACCAGCTAGTTGCTGACTCAGCCTGCTGACACCAGGTTAATTTTATTTAATAAACAAATGTAACACCTCTTTGCATCATTAACAAAAGCAGCAGAAAGAAATGTAACACACCATTACTCAGTTAAAATAATAATCCACAACAAAGTCCTACTTGTCAGTTGTTGACCTTAATTCTTGGACAAATGGAGTCATTTCAGAAAGTCCTTTCCAACACCTGTATCATGTAGGGCACTGCCTATGTTTGCTTCCAGAAGTTTTAGGGTTCCGGGTTTCACATTTATGTCTTTGAGTCATTTGGAGTTAGTTTTTGTGCAAGCTGATAAGTCCAGGTATAATTTCATTCTTCTGCATGTGGACATCTAGATGCTCTGTTCTCTAGCTTATGACATTAGCATCTTTGTCAAATATTAAGTGACTGAAGCTACATGTACTCATGTTTGGATCCTCAATTTTGTTCTGTTATTGTAACAGTATCGTATTATTTTTATTACTAAAACTACATAATATATCTTAAGATTTGGAATCCCTCCAACATTGCTCAGGATTGTTTTGGTTGTCCACGTCTTTTGTGGTTCCGTATAAATTTTAGAGTAGTTTTAGTTGTCATTTTGCTTAGTTTTTTTTTTCTATTTTACAAAGAATTAGATGAGGATTTTGATTGGTATTTCACTAAATCTGTAAATAACTTTTGGTAAAATGGTCGTTTTCTTATGTTAACTCTACATGTTAATGGGATGTCTTTCCATTTTCTAATGTTCTTCTCTTCAGAATTTAGAGTTTTTGTCGTAGAGGACCTTTAGTTCTTTAATTAGGTTTATTCATAAAATTTCAGTTGCAGCTATTGGGAAAGGAAGTGCATCCGTGTTCCCTTGTGTATGCTTGTGGCTGGCATATAGAAGAACTATTGATTTGTGCAAGGTACTTCTGTATCCTGTCATGTTGAATTTTATACTTTCTAGAAGTTTTCTGTAATAGCATTTGAAAATAGAAATAATTTGATGTTTTTCCCCCTATCTGTAGCCCTTCAACCTCTTTCTCTTAGCTTATTTTTCCAGCTAGTATTTAGAGTACAATATTGAAAAGAAGTGGGCATGATGGACATCCCTGTCAAGTTCCTGACTTCAGTGTAATTGCGTCAAGCTTTTCTCCATTTAGGATGATGCTGACTGTAGGGTTCTCATATGCAACTTTTGTTCTGTTGAGCTATATTCCCTCTAGTGCTTCATTAGACAGTATTTTTTTTTTATCATGTTGGATTTTATCAAAGGCTTTTTTCTGCATCTATAGAGATGGTCATATGATTTTGTCTTTGAGTCCATGTATGAGGCTTATTACATTTCTTGGTTTGTGTATCCTGAACCTTATCTGAATTTCAGGGATAAATGTAGTCACAGTATATAATCTTTTTCATATATGTCTATATTCTGGTTGCAAGAATTTTTCTAAGTATTATTGAGTCTATGTTCATCAGAGATATTGGCCTGTAGTTTCCTTTATTTGTTGAATCTTTGCTTTTGTTATTACAGTGATAATGGCTCTTGTAGAATAAATTTAGGAGTTTTCCTTCTGTTTTGTGTTTTGAATAGGAAGGATTGGCTGTAGATCTTCTTTGAATGTCAACAATGTAAAGATCTGTCCTGTCCCTTTAAGAGACAAGCCACTCCCACTCTCTCCCCTGTCCACCACTGAGGTAGGCAGATCTTCCTGCGTGCCTGCAGCCCATGTTCTTCCTTTCAGTCTCTCTTCCAAAGAGGCTGCTGCTGCTGTGGCTCCTCTTCACCTCCCCATCTCTCTCTCTCTCTCTCTCTCTCTCTCTCTCTCTCTCTCTCTCTCTCTCTCT